CTCAGAGGCAATCATGGCTGGGAAGCTTGCTGTGCTGGGAAGCTCCGCTCAACTGGGTGCTGCACTTGGACTCTGTTATTACTGCACTTTAAACCACAAGAACAAAATGTTTGGGACATGCTAATGGCACCAGGAGAAACAGAAGCATTCTGATTTGGTAGTAATTGTTGTAATTATTTGCTACCAGAGCAGACAGGAATATAATGTAATGGGTCTGATTATTTATCAGCATTCAACACAAGAAGAAAACAGTGCCGGTAAATAGCAGAGGGTTTATTTTGGGGAACTGTTTAAAGCTAGAAAGGACAAAACATCCCTCTTCAAAACAGGGCCTGTGCAGGCTCTGCATTGAAGATCTGACAAAGGCTTTCAGGATTCAAAACAGCTGTATAGGGTTGAGGGTTTGCCCTATGTACTTGGCTTGGTCGCACTGCCAAGGCCAGGTTTGCTGAGCAGCCTTCCCTTAGGCCAGCATCTTGCCAAATGTTATCCATTGGCAGTGAAATAGTTCAAGGTGGAACACTCTGGCTGCCCTTTTGGGGATAATCTAGCAAAGATGCTTCAAACATTTCCAGGAGTGGCAATGTAGCTCTGTCTACATTAACACCTTATTGCTGCTGAGAGGGAAGGCTGAAACAAGATTGCCAAGGAAGGAAATGAGTATGACAAGATTTGTGGGTGAAAAGAAATTGCACTGAGACCCCAGTGCCAAAGCCTCTGGGCTGGCTCACTGCAGGGTCTTAGAGGAGCCTGAAACCAGGAGAGGAGGTGAAGAAATGGGAGTCCTGGAAAAATACATGGTTAGGTAGAGGAAAGGCATTCATGGAGGCCAGGGGGAAAGAGAAGTAGGTCCTGGTGGACAAACAGGAGAGCTATGGGCACACAAGGATAGGTCTCACACCAGCAATACAGGGCACCAGTATGCCAGTGTGCTCCAGGGCTCCCCTACATTGAGGACACATGCTGGTTAGCCCACCTTGGGGCATCTGCAGGATGAGCCATGGTGAGAAGAGCAGAGCTCCTGGGGAACCCTTTGATAGAAAGCAACTTTCCTCCCATTGTGAATGGTGACCACTTTCCTTATCAAAAGGGCTTTGTTGTCTCAATTTATCTCCCCATTTGGCATCTCTTATGGCACTTTCAGTTCCCCACTCCTCTGACCTTGGAGCTACTATGCTATGAACATGTCAGACAGGAACATGCAATCGATGCTGGCCAACCCACTAACTGACTGAGCTATTATTACAGCAGGCACTGATGTGAGCAGCCACAGAAAGGAAAACAGATTTTGGGGCTCCTCATGTGTCTGGGGCTATCTGCACATCCTGTCCTGGGTTAACTGAAAACATGTGGTCAAGGCTGCCAGGCTGGTGTGCAGCTACAGCCAGAGCTAGCTCTCAAAGCATCTGCATCTTCTATTTCCTCATCCCCTTTTTTGAATAAGCCCATTAAAATCTAGCTCAGGAAATGGTAAGATATCAACATGCTTAAATGTCCTCCTCATCGCTGATGTTAATTCTGCAGACCCCTGCTGTTTCAGCTGCATCCTTTTTCGCTTGCTCACTCCCATGTGAGGGTTACCACTTGCTGGAAGACACTTGTCCTTATTTTCCTCAGGCGTTCCTATATCCCAAAAATGTATTACATGTGTAATATACATGTCATAAGCCTGAGAGTGCTCAAACCAAGCTCACTTTGTCCCTATGACACATGAACACCGGCCTGTGACCCGGTAAAGACACGACCCACTTCAAAAACCAAAGCTGTGCCCTTGCGACCAGACTCCACGTAGTGACCATGGATGGTTCAGGCTCAGCCTGTCTATGGCAAGCAATGTGATGGATACCAGGCAGTGGTGATGAACTGCAGGGAGAGCAGAGGGGCTGAGATGGGGCTGGCAGACAGCAACCTTCCCACCTCCAGAAAGCCTTCCCACCTCCAGAAAGCCTTCCTACCTCCTCACCTTCCTCAGCCAGAGGTGGCACTTGTGCAGGCAGTGTTTCCTGGGGAGCAGTTTTCATTCTTTCTTTTCAGATATGGAGCCATGTACATAGCAAGCAGCCTCCGTCTCCTGCAGTGCAGGGTTCCCCAGGGCAACCTCGCACTTGGTGCAGATCCGCTTCCAGTTGTTTGCTTTGAACCTGCCACCTGCTGCTTTTATTTGATGTCCCAAAGTTCTTGTCTGAGAAGGAACAGTGTACAATCCCTCTTTATTTTGTAACCAGGTCGCTTTGTTTTGAGTCACTTGTCTGGGTCCCTGCTTCTTTTTAATTCAATGGCAAAAGCTTCCAAGTGCCTCAAGGGCATGGATCAGGCATTTGCAATTTTTAATTCACTTTTCCTAAGCATTACTTAGGTGTGATGCTTTGCTAAAATCTGCCAGTTGCTACCACAGGTGTCTAAGACTGCAGAAAGAGCAAAGAAATACTCACTACCCTTGCCTTGGCACACGTAACCCATTTGTACATCCTCTGTGCACCACCATCTGCAGACGCCTGCAAACATACAGCCTCATTCATGTCCCACCCCAGCAGAAGCTCTTCTGCCCATGCCCTAGGATCCACCAGCAGCAATCCTGCCAGCCCCACACCTGCCTGCATGCATACCCATTGCCTCCACTTCAGATATAAACAACATGCTGTAAATGTAAATGCCATAATCATATAAATGCCACTGTCAATGCACTCTGTATCTATACACCCACACGGTATCAGCACATACCCCATCCAACCCTAACCTGATACACACCCTTGAACACATTCTTCCACCCCACGCCTTGCTACAACAGGCTAAGCAGCTTCAGAAAGAGCAAGGGAAAGCCCCAGTCTTTTTGAATCTTTTTCCATGCAGATGGAAACGGGGTAGGTGTGTTTTCCAAGCATCATCATGCTTTGTAGCACACGGATGGGGAGCGTGCCACAGGTGGGCTTCACATCAGGCCCTGTCAAACAGTGAGCACAGGCTCCCTGCTCATGGGTGACTGCAGGAGTACAGAGATCTCTGCACAAATAAAACATATGGAGACATAAGTACATATTATGTTTGTGCATATGTGTACATACATCTGTGCAAGAGGATATTTGGACAACACATCAAGAAGCACCAGTCTTGTGGGCTGGTTGCAAAGGGACTTGCCAATCCCAGGGTACACATACAACTCACTTTGCCACTGCTGTGAGCTTGGATCCCCTCTGTTATTTTTATAAGGCCATTATGATTAGCATTAACCTAATTAATTTGCTTTAATTGGAGAACATTATTAGCCTAAATGGTCCCACTTAAATCACAGAGAAGCCGTGACCAAGCTCTTCAAACAGCCGCCTGTCCCCACTCACCCTCCTGCAGCTGGTTAACACAGCTGAGTTCAGCCCGGGCTGTGCCTTGGCACAGCAGTCCTCCTCTTCACAGGGCTTGTTTTCTGCTCTGCAGGGAAACACCTGCACATCTCAAAGTGAGATCGACTCAGAGCAAAGATACCAGCTTAGCAGTTACAGGCTCCATCACCGAGACACCATCCAAACCTGGTGGGAAGAGACCGGTGTCCTGAGCCACCTTTGGCAGCTACACTGGTAACTACAGCTGAAAAGTACCCACAAAACCTTCACAAATACCACTAGCCTGCTATTGGCTTTACAGACACCAAGGTTTATCATCACGCTTTACCACAAAACCTGCCCTCTTTTGTCATTAACAAAGGGCTAGCTGCAGGGAGATGCAGAGGTGGCTGTGACTGAACTTAACCCAAACATGCTGGGGACCCAGACTACAGCCCCGGGTGCAGCAGAGGCAGCTCACCCAGTCGACTGCACACTGCAAAGCTTCATGTCAGCTTTCTGCCATTCCCTGCTGAACCCAGGCTTTGGCACAATAGGTGCCCATACCTATGGTGTGGTTGATACAAGATTAATGCATCCCTCTCTACACATTGATATACTTACAATCAAGCTGGACCTGGCAGAAGGCTGCAGATGATCAGTGTTTGTGGAGCCACAGCAGCCACCGTGCTTGTGAATGGCCTCTAGGGCCCCAAAGGCAGGTGCGGAGCAGTGAGGATGGTTTGGAATCAACATCACGTAGAAAGGTAATTCTGTATAGGAAGTATGAGAGTAAAGGGCTTGGGAGGGCAGTGGGTCCACCTTATACCCCTTGCAAAACAGGCCAAGGCCAATTAACTGTGAGCTGCAGCCAACAGAGAGGGGAGGAGGATTTCAAGAGACAGCAGGAAGCCTAGAGGAGATCAGAGCTTGGAGAGGAGGGCAGAGAAGGCCTCCTAGGAATGAGTCTAAGTAGGACTGCTAAGGGAATTTAAGCTAGTATCTCTCAGGAGGCCTTGGAAAAGGGGACATAGGTAACAGCTTTGTGAGGTGTTGGCTAAGATACAGAGACAGGAGTATGGGGGAGAGACAGGAATTAGCTCAAGGAGATAGCAAAGGGTGGGGAATGCACATTACAAGTACCTGAGATGGAGTTTTAGGAGCAAGATCCAGAGGAAGGTGATGGCTACAGTCATACCACTGAGGAGCACAAGTGCTCTGGCTGTAAGCAAAAGGGCTGCTGAGAATCTTGGGATAGAGATGCAAGATGCGCTGAGGCTAAAACTGCAAGCTGAAGACCAGCTGTGTGGTCACCCAGCCTTCTGTTCTGGGGGAATGGAGACCTCCAGCCAGGTCACATTCAACCCCCAAGCAATAGGCAGGTCACTCAATAGCCAAAGCACCTTCTTGATGAGGGAAGCACTACTGAGAGCCAATCAATACAATCCTATCAGGGCTAGCCTCAAAGGAAGCAGCTGCACAGGGAGCTCCTCTTACATGCAAAGAATTGGGTATTCATGTTTTCAAAGCTCTTGCTAGCTGATTGGTTCCATGCTCTTGCAGGTCTGGGATTTGGGAGTGCTTGGGACTGGAAGTGCTGTGTCATAGCTCACTCTTCTCCATCCTCTCCTATACCCTGGCCCACAAAGACCTAGATGGTAGCAAACAAGAGACCCACCAGAGGTGTGAATATAGCAGCTGTTACACTTTATTTCATTGCTGTTTTAATTATTTTTCCAATTCAAAAAGACAAGAAAAGTTACAAAAGTACTAAAAGGCATCGATATTGGCAGGACATCCCTGTGCTCCCACCTGGGGAAGGCAGCTGGCAGCACTCATGGGTTGGCAGAAACACAGCTCTGGGGCCAAGCACCTCAGCAGCTCTTGCTGAGCAAAGCCTGGGGCCACGCAAGGGCCATCTGCATGGGGAACGTGGCTCTTGAGACAGGGACCACATGTCCTGAGCACAGGGATTTGGTCTGAAGGGCCAATGCTTCCTGTCCTGCACTGGTCAGGTTGATCGGCAGCAGTTAAAAAGCAGAGGTGTGCCATCAAAACAAGACAAGCAGAGTCTCTATAGGGGCAGGAGGATTCAGCAGAGGAATTGGCCTTTCTTGGAGAAAGGGACTTACTGCAGGGAGCCACGATGCTCTGCCAGAGGTACCTCACCAACAAAAGCAAGCACACCCCTGGAGGTGATGCTGGTGCTGGGGGTGGCCCAGCTGTGGTGGCCTGGAGCCAAAGAGCAGGAAGAGCTGGGTCAGCATCTGGACAGATGTTCCCTCACTGCGTTGCCCAGCTGCTCTGCCTGTCTGTGTGAGAGGCGGCTGGGGAGGGAGGAGGATAGAGATGAGGATTTGGGTCCCCAGGGCTCCACGGCCTTTGGGCTTTCCCCAGGGGTCTCAGTGAAGGGCCCAGAAAGCACCAGTGAGTGCTGGTTCACTGTGTAGCCTCTTAGTGGCAGCCGGACTGACCACTGGTCTCATCCACAGAGTGGCATCAAAGACCTCCCCGCTGCAGCAGAGTTAAAACCGAGTATTTTACTCACAGTTGTACCTCTTGATCCAAGCAAGAAGTAAACTGCTCACTCCCCCTTGCACTCAGCAAGATAGAGGCTCAAGGTGGGGAGCACCTAGACAAAGAGGTTACTCTCTCTGCCAAGTGCAGCAAGGGGAAATGCCTTGTTCCTCTGCCTCACCAGAAGAGGTAAAACCTTGTTCTATTAGCTGTTGCCTTGTGGCACAGAACACATACACACCTCAAGGGCAGATCCTAGTCAAATTCCAGTGGCAGTAAAGCCCAGCATGGTCCCAACTGCCTTATGACTGTATGGAGAAATGTCCCATAGCTTCACTGGAACTCCTCTCCTACCACTAAGTGGCCACAAAACAGAGACCTCTTTCTTCCACTCTATGCTATATCTGGGAATACTTGTTCCACTGATATAAGTGTGCCTGAATTTACTAGACAGCATAACAGGGGAGTGGAAAGCTTGCTGGAGACATTAGATTTGGTTGAGTTTGGTAACAGCAGTTACTTTTAGCATCATGCTAGGGCAGCAGGGTAATGCTGTGGAGAAGTGCTGCGTATTCCAGAACACAGCCTCAGCAGAGAGGAACCCAATAGCACACAGTCACCCCCAAGCTTTTCTCTCTGATAATGCTGAGGACTGAGGGTGGGTGCTGTGTTTTCTCAGGTGGCTGAACACAGACCTTCCATTCTAGAGTTTTACTCTACAAGTGGGAGGCTCATGCCTCTCATTTCAATCCCCTTTTAGATGATATCACTGAGTTGCCAGCAGACCAGCTGGAACTCACAGCTAGATGTGCCTGCTACCTCTCCGCACCCCCTCCAAGGGTCTTCCATTCACAAGAGCTTGAAGTGAATGCAATTATAGCAATATCAGAGAGGGATCTTCTTGCTTTGCAGGCAGTCCTGTATAGCCTCTGTCTCCAATCCTGAGCTCACTTCTGAGTGAGAGAAAGATCAGGTCTACAGCAAAGCACTGTAGACACAGGCACCCTTGGGAAACTGGACTTGGTTTCACACCCGTGGACCACTTGTCCCTGCTGCCATATAGGCCATACTAGCCCCTGAACCCCTTGGAGATATCTACCACCACCATCCCCAGGTTTCACACTGCCTTGGTGGCTGCCCTTGCCAGTTTCTGGACCTGACTGGATTGTTTTGCCCTGAAAGACAAAAATCTCTCCCTTTGCCACTATTCACATATGGCATTGGTAGGAAAACAGGCACTGCTGCAAAGCCATACGCTTCCTGCTGCCAGAAAAGCTGTACTGCAAAGAAGTGTCAATGTCCTCTTCTTCTCCCACCCATCCCCTTGAGTATCACCACCTCCCCTTCTCCCTGCCAGGCAGGCGGTTGGATTGCAGTTCCTGAGGTTTTTGGAGAAACTCCTTCAGTAGGCACATGACGGTTCTTCCACCGGAGCTATCGGGCTCAGCGGCTTCAAGGTGCTGAGGGAACGGAAGGCAAAGGTGGATGGATCATAGACAAAGTGGGGTGGCGGGCAGCCTCCATTGATGCTCTGCCGGGGAATAAAAAGAGGGATTAAGTCAGTGCTCATACAAGCTGCAAGTGGTAAAGTTCCTGCCTTGAGTGCTGGTCCCATCCCTCTCTAGCACAATTGCACCTCCTTGAATGAGGTCATGCTTGTACTTGCAGCAAGTGCAACATAAGCAGTGAAGCTCTTTGCTTGTGTCCTTACTCCTACCCACTGAGAAAAAAGCATGCCTATCCCACCTCCTCCAGGACTGAGATCCCTGGGATCCACATGCCTAGGACTCATTGCACTTGCAGCCAGTAAGTGAAATAGTATATCCATGATGCATTTAGTCCCAGAGTCGGAACAGCAGCACTGCCAGACAGTATCACATGGGAAAACCAAATTCAGATTCACTTGGCCTTGAAGGAGGATCTGCTACACTTTTAGAGCAGGGAGATAAATCAGTCCTCTGGGTCCTAGTTCTCAACAGCTGTCCCATAAGGGTTTACAAATCACCTCTTCTTTATAAAGTTCTAGGCACACTGAACTCCCCAGAGTTTTGGCTCCAGACTGCAGGGTTCAATGAGGAATGGCTGAGAGATGCTCAGAGGAAAAGATCCCACCAGAAGGCCTTACAGCCTGGTTTGTACCCCTGTACCAGCCACCAAAGACCATTCTCTCCTCTTTTGCTCCCAGTGTTCAGAGCAGATCCAGAGTAAGGAGGCCAGAAATATCAGTGCACTCTCTGCAGTGCATGACAGGAGGGAAATGCTGTTCTTGCCTGGGCTCTGCCAGGACCTGTGGATCCCAGAGGAATTATAGCACCAAAGAAGCGATTCTGCTCTGTTAAATAGGAAGTGTTTTCCTTCTACTTCTTGGGAACTGTTTTGTTTCTTCTCTTTGGCAAGCACAAACACCAGTGTGGCAGCTGCTTCACAGGCACTCTTTAGCCAGGAGATGAGGTCTCACCACTTCATGGGCCAGCAGAGTATTTAATCATAATCCCATAGAGTTCTTTTCCCAGGGATAGGGATGAGCTACTGTGAGTGCCACACGCTGGGAAGTTCAGAAGCTCAGAAACTCATGCAGACGTCCCGCACCCTCATCTCACTTCCATCACTGCTGGGAAGGGCTTTACCATTGTTTTCATGGAGGTTAGATAAGAGATCTGACCTGGGCTCTGGTGTTATGTGCCTCCCTGCTCCCTCTTCCAGACTTTTCCTAGCAAACCCCATGGTTTCCATTGCTCAGCCTGCACTAGGGGACTGCTCTTCAAATAACAGGGCTTTTTAGGAACAATTACCACCTCTGCTGTCTCCTCTAAGACAGAGGTTCATTTTGGCTCTTCAAAGTCAGGTCTATCAGACAGCTGCAAGCACAAAATGGCACGGCAAGGTGATGCTCTGATGCCACCTGCTTCCGCCCTGGCTGGGTTTTCACTTGTTATCATAGCACAAACACACACGGTCAGGCTCACCCAGTCACCTCAAATTAGAGGGAGCTGTGGCAGTGGCCAAGCCAGGCCCTGGGGGCTGCAGTCACCTGCAGCAGGAGCCGGGAGCCTCTGCCTCTAGAATCTTGATCATAGCTCGGTCCCATAAGCCCTTTATGTCAGAAAGGTCCTCTTTAAAAGCCAGTATGGGCAGCATGCTCCTGCCTAGTTGGTACCTCCTCTGCCAATTAAGATGGGCACTTGAGAATGGAAAATGCCAACATGGTGCTTGGCCTCATCTGTGCCTGGATTTTAAGCCAGCAAATCATGCCCTGCTTCATCCCCCTGACACCTTGGCCAGCAGCATAAGAAACAAGAGAGGCAGATTTAAGGGCCTTTACTCAATAGCCACCTGCTGTGGGGTTATATATGGTGTGTGCTCTGGCAAGCCTCAGAGCTGAAGGGTAACATAGCAACCCCTATTCAAAGCTAAGGGGCAGAATAAATCAGCACATTTGTCCTTCTCCAGAGCAGAGAACGTCCCCTGCCAGTGCCAAAAGGGAATGGGAACAAAGAACCTGGCAGTCCCCTCCATTTTGAAATGCCAGGCAGGATTAGGGAAGGCAGCTGAATGGGTTCATTTCTGGCACACAGCAGATGAAGAAGAGGCTGGGGAAGGACGGGTCCAGAGGACAAGCAAAAGTCATCCCCAAAAGCCACCAGGCTTTGGATGGGAAGGTGCCCTGGGGTTTCTCTCTGGACCTTTTTCTGGGACAGTGTATGGGGCAAAGAGCTTTCCCAGGTACTGCAAGGAACATGGGCAGAGAACAAAGGCTGAGGAGAAGGACAGGGATGTGAGAAGACATAGGAGGATGCAGAGATTCACAGTTGGTCAGAGAGCTGCAAGTAAGGCTCAAACTGCACCAACCCTGCCTCTTCACCATGGAACCTCTCAAGCAGCCACAGGATGATGTCTGGTTTTCAACAGCACAGCTACCACAATGGCAGGCAAAGGCAGGGTGAGAAGAGACCTGCAGGCAGTAACAGGAGGATGCAGTAATGCAACCACCTTAATTCATGGCAACACCAGGACCAATCTGCAGTGATTTATAACCCTGAGCAGTATGGGTCTGCCTTGCATCTACTCCGTGACTGATAGAGCAGTAACTGCTAGGAAGAGCGAGCACCAGCTCCACATCTCTCCACACTTTTCTTGCAGAAGAGCATGTTTCCTTTGGAGCCTTATCCTGCTCTAGAGATGACCAGACCTGATCTGGCTTAGTCCACGACACCATTTGGGATCTCAGCATGTGGTGGTCTGGCTCTGATGAGTAGCACAAGGCAAAGCTCTGTACATGTATTCCCAGAAAGAAGACGGATAGGGCTGGCTGCCAGAGAGGGAAACGTTCCTCCCACCCTATCACTTGGGCCAGCTGCCTCTCTGTAATGTGGGCAAGCGTCCTAGCTAGCCTGCTCTTCCCCTCGGGTGCCCAGTGCCAGCCTGGGATGCCTAGGGTATCGCTCTGACTACAGAAGGCTGTTAGAGTGGTTGCTGCCGCTGCAGCAGCTCCAGGGAGCTTGCTATAAACCTGCCTGACAGCCCCTGCTGAGCAACCCCAGACCAGCTCCTGCAGAGGCTCCTCAGAGCGCAAACAGTCCACACTTGACATTAAAGGCCGGTGCGTTCACTCTAATGGCATTCAGTCAGCTGGGTAACTCGCACAAAATGGAGCCTAATATGGGCCCTGTGCTAATGGCAATCATTAACCAGAGCCCTCAGTTTGTTAGGCAATGTATTTACACAGCTGGAGAAGGGCCCGAGACACGAGCACTCAGCTGCAGGCAGGAGGGTGCACACGCTCTGTCACACGTGCCTGTGCTCACTTGCACACGCTCACCTGCTCTCACACGCCTCGGGTCACTCGTCCACATCCCTCTGTGCACACACAGACCTTCTCGTGACTTGGAAATCCAAAGGAGAGCTGCCCCTGCTCATACAATTCTTCTCTGCTCATGTCACAACTCAAGCCAAGCAGGGCTTGAACTCCACGGGCATCAGGGGACAGTCCAAGGCAGCACAGCTCATCACTTGCCTATACAACTGCCCAGAGCAGGAGGTAGTTCCAGTACCTGCAGACACCTGGGCTGCCTCATTGCATGCCTCATTTGAGTTAGAGGGGCTCCTAAGGGACCTAGCTTGGGTTACACTATGTGCAGACCACGTACACTTGTCAGCATGCACACAGACACACTTCTTCCTCCATATACACCCACCTACATGCACACTCTTGCAAACCTGTCACCAACTGCATTACCACCACTGAATACAGGTGGTAAATAAGCAGCCAGGCTTGAAGCATATCTAAAGCACATTAACAAAGCAGCACAACAGATGATGGTACAGATAGCGACCGGATGCAGGTGCCTCAAAGAAGACCAGTGAGATTAAACACCACAGAAGAAATGCAGGATTTCAATCATATTAGCAGCCCTCAGGAAGCAGAGAAATGGGCAACTGCTTCATAAATCCATCAGTAACATGATTGTACATATCAGCAAGGAAAAAGTACATAGGAATAAGATAAATCAGGTAAAGCATAAGCCTACTGAAACAAACACACATTCCTTCTAGAAACCCATCCCTTACCCCTGCGAAGTCTGGGAAAACATCCCAAATGCAGATTGTGAAACAACTTTATTTTGGACTCATGATTCCACAGAAGTGAGGTTCTCCGGACAAAGCAGAAGCGAGCACAGCTCCAAGCATGCTTTCAGTTGTGGGAATGACAATCCCCACAGGAGGGGTAAATGAAGTTACCTAACACAACAATGTCTTAGAAGGGAGTGGTGTGCCAGGGGTGATACAAAACTAAGCCCTGCTTAATACTCTTTGGTCCTCTTTCATAAGAGCTCTAGTATCCTGGTGGGATTCAAAATCAGATCAGCTTGTGCACTCTGCCAACCCATCCCTTACCCAGGGCCAACCCAGCACAGGAGTCCCTTCTTTTTTCCTACCCTTGGGCCCTGCTGATTGGGAAATGCTGTCGAGCTCTGTTTGAAGGATGCTGCCTTCCAGTGGCAGATGCCTCTCAGTGGTGGGTGAATGATCCCTTTGCAGTCTGCAGACTCACTTGTTAAAAGTCCTTTGGGATGAAAGGCACCATGTAATTGCAAGTTGTAAAGGCGCATCCGATTCCCACCACTGCCCTATGTGGAAAGGAATAAATTCCCAAAAGAGCCTTGGCAAAGACAGATGTCTGCCTGCTTGAGACAGTTGCCTTGCCCAGGAGTAGACAGAGCCAGAGGTAGTACCGATACTCAGGCAAGTCACAGAGAGTGTAAAGGCTGTCACACTCCATACTGGAGCATTTATAGTTACACTGCTTTTAATTCCACTTTTCATTCTCCTTCCACTCACCCCTGCCAGGTGGTTAGAAAAGAAACTGATGACACTCCAACTCTGATGTGTGAAACCAGCAGCTGTGAGCAAGGGAAGGGGACTTACATACTTGCTCCTAGCTATATTCCAAACATGGCCCTGATTGCGCCACTTCCTCAGTTTCTCCTGTCCTGGTTTCAGGTGGGATAGAGAAATGTTCTAGTAGCTGCT